CCCCCAACCCCCATGCCACAGGCCCTGCTCTGTGTGTGACAGGGTAGAGCCATAACCTCCCGATTGGGCCTGCCCTGAGTGTGAGAGTGTCAGCGCCCCAACCCCCTGATCGGCCCTGCTCTGTGGGTGATAGAGGGCGGCGCCACAACCCCCACCCCTCCCATGGGCCCTGCTCTGTGTGTGATGAGGTAGAGCCATTATCTCCCTATTGCCCCTGCCCTGAGTGTGACAGGGGGCGGTGCCCCAACTCCCCTATCGGCGCTACTCTGTGCATGACAGGGGGGAGCTCCCCAACCCCCTGAATGACCCTGCTCTGTGCGTGACAGGGGGCAGCGCCCCAACCCCCTGATTGGCCCTGCTCTGTGCATGACAGGGGGGAGCTCCTCAACCCCCTGATGGGCCCTGCACTGTGCGTGACATGGAGGAGCTCCCCAACCCCCTGAATGACCCTGCTCTGCACGTGACAGGGTACCAAGCCTCAACCCCCCTGATAGGCCCAGCTCTGTGAGTGACAGGGGGCAGCGCCCCAAGCCCCTGATTGGCCCTGCTCTGTGTGTGACAGGGGGTGGCACCACAACCTCCCCATCGACCTGCCTTGAGTGTGACAGGGGGCGGTGCCCCAACCCCCCCAATTGGCCCTACCCTGAGCATGACTGAGGGTGGCATCACAACCTCCCGATCCGCTCTGCTCTGTGCATGACAGGGGGCGGTGCCCCAACTCCCCAATCGGTCCTGCTCTGAGCCCGACCAGGGGCTGCACCTAGGGATTGGGCCTGCCCTCTGCCACCCGGGAACAGGCCTAAGCCAGCAGGGCATTATCTCCTGAGGGGTCCCAGACTGTGAGAGGGGATCCCCCTTCCCCACAGTGCACAAATTTTTATTTTTGTGCACCGGGCCTCTAGTATATATATATAAAAGGCTAAGTGACCGACCGACCATCCGTCTGTCCGTCCAACTGGCCGGTATACTAGTATATGATGCGCACTGGCAATTCAAAGATAAACATTGACTCGCACATATGTGATACATATAAAGCTCTCATAGAATTTCTTAATAGTATTACTCCTTCGGGAATGCCATGTCATAAATTAAAATTGAAAGTAGGTGCAATCATCATGCTACCGAGATATCTTAATAGTAAATGGGGTCTTTGTAATGGTACTAGATTTATTATCAAAAGATTGCAACCTAACATAATTGAAGCTAAAGTATTGACAGGATCTGTGGAAGGAAAGGTTGTTCAGATTCCAAGAACTGATTTGTCCCCATCTGACACTGGCCTCCCATTTAAAGTAATTCCAAGACAGTTTCCCATGATGCCAGCATTTGCAATGACTATTAATAAATCACAAGGACAAACTCTAGACAGAGTAGGAATATTCCTACCTGAACCCATTTTCGGACATGGTCAGTTATATGTTGCTTTCTCTCGAGTTTGAAGAGCGTGTGATGTTAAAATTAAAGTTGTAAATACTTCACCACAAGGAAAATTAGTCAAGCACTCTGAAAGTGTTTTTACTCTTAATGTGGTGTACAGGTTGATATTACAATAAGTTTAATCAATTCAGTCATTGTTTGTACCAATGTTGTTTTTATATCATGTTTTTGTTGTTTCTATGTC